GATCCTGGGTCAGTGGGGCATTAGCGTCTCTGGTGGATACCACCTTTACTTTCCAACTTCCCTATCGAGGACAGAACATTATCAATCACTTCTTTTGTGAACCTCCTGCCCTCCTGAAGCTGGCTTCTGCAGACACCTACAGCACAGAAATGGCCATCTTTGCAATGGGTGTGGTCATCCTCTTAGCTCCTGTCTCCCTGATCCTTGTCTCCTACTGGAATATCATCTCCACTGTGACCCAGATGCAGTCTGGGGAGGGGAAGCTTAAGGCTTTCTCCACCTGTGGCTCCCATCTCATTGTTGTTGTCCTCTTCTACGGATCAGGAATATTCACTTACATGCGGCCAAACTCCAAGACTACAAAAGAGAGGGATAAGATGATATCTGTGTTCTATACGGTGGTGACTCCAATGTTGAATCCCATAATTTATAGCCTGAGAAACAAGGATGTCAAAGGAGCTCTTAGGAAACTAGCTGGAAGAAAGCCCTTTTCTCACAGACAGTGATCTCTGGGTCTGAATTTTAGAGCTATAGTAACATTCTTAAAAGAGGAGCAGAATTTCAGTAGGCAGTTATGAATTAGGTCATTTCAGGAAGAAATAGGAAAGTTAAAGATATGTTCTAGAAACTGAATATTCCACTCTAATCTATAACATAGAGAAGAAATAAAAAGATGAAAAGTTAGGTTATATCCTGATTATGAAAAGTGTCAAGTGCTATTTTGAAGAAGGTTGAGGTTAATTTAGCTAACATGGACATGTTTTATTTATTTATTGTTTTGTGTGTGTGAGGAAGATCAGCCCTGAGCTAACATCATGCTAATCTTCCTCTTTTTCCTGAGGAAAACTGGCTCTGAGCTAACATCTATTGCCAATCCTCCTCCTTTTGTTTTGTCCCCAAAGCCCAAGTAGATAGTTGTTATGTCGTAGTTGCACATCCTTCTAGTTGCTGTATGTGGGACGCGGCCTCAGCATGGCCAGAGAAGTGGTGCATCGGTGCACACCTGGGATCCGAAGCCGGGCAGCCAGTAGCAGAGCGTGCGCGCTTAACCGCTAAGCCACGGGCCCGGCCCTGGACATGTTTTAAGTATGATCACAATTACATCTAGGAGGTTTAAACTGGATTGTCCTGAAATAAAGTCTACTATGAGCTGCATGCATGATTCTAACATCAAAGATATTTCACGTTTGGATGTCCCAGTCATACAAACCTAGGAATACGTTCTGATTAAAATAATCAACATATCTGGAAGAGTATTTAATACTGGGATCATTTGTGGCCCAGAGCGTTTCAGCTTGTAAAAAGGTACCAGAGGCAATAATACTTCCTAGTTCATTATATTCTCTCCTGAAAGCTCCAGAAAAAGTTTCTTATATCATCACTCCAGATTTCATATAAGCATAGACTATCAGAGTAAAAAAGGAATTCAACAATCATCTAATCCAACCACGTGTCTGAGGCTTAAACCATCCCATAATATTTCTATTGAGTAATTGTCCAGCATTTGCCTAAACAAGAATGAAATAGCTTCCTACTTTCTGGTACTGTTCTCTTTCATACGTAGATAGGTTTTACTGTTAGAAAAATGTTCCTCAGGGTAAGTCAAAATCAATTTTTCTGTATCTTGAAGCCACTTTCCCTAGTTTTACTCCTAGAACAGTTTTCATTATCTTTCTATGCCATAACTCACTGAAGTCAGTTTCTATATTTGCCCAAATACAATTCTCACAGTGAACTACCCACTTGTTCCCTTAAAATTCCTTTATGTAACATGCTTTGGTACCCTGTATTCATCCTGGTCATCCTCCTTTGAATGAACATGATTTACCCAATGAATCTCTCTTCAGAAAGCAAAAGAGAAATTAGAATTTTAGAAACTGGAGTTTACCAATCCAAGGCTGACCCCTCCATGGGCTTAGGTGCCTGTAAGCCACACCTCACTGCAATTCAACTTCTCTAGAACAGTCGATGCCAGAGTCTACTTCAGGTTCTCATAAATCCTTAGTCCAAATAAACTGGCTGACAGCGATTTCCTTCTTTTACCCAAACTTTCAATTAATCACATGTTTAAAGGGGATTCCATGGTAACCATTCTACAGTTACCATGAACGTGGGTCCAGGAAGAACACACCTCAGATTGACTCTGCAGTAGAAGACATCCCCAGTGAAGAGATGTCTACTAGCTACATTTCTTATTTCTTTCATCCATGCATCCATGTGTTCATTTTAAAACAACTTACTGAACTCCTATTTCATTTTATCTTATCCAACTCTAGGTGTAACCAATACACCCAGAGCAATGACTGACGCATAATGTGTTTAATACACATTTTTCCACTTGTCATTATCCATTTAAAATTACTGGAGCTGCATTACAATAGACAAACTCTAATCTGGGGTGTGA